AAAGTTTAATAATTTAGTTTTTAAATATTTTAAAAAATAAATACAATTTATGATTTTAGTACTATAAGTCTATAAAGTATCTGATACCTTTTTATGTAATTTTGTTATCATATTAAAATTTGGTATTAAAAATAACATAAATAAAAGATATAAATGTGTTCAATATTTCAAGCTGAGAAACATTTCTAATTTGTGTACCAACTATAAAAGTAAAATATAATTATGTAGTGTGGTATTACATTTTTAAATGACAATACGAGTATGTATATCATGTATTATAATAGGTATTCGTCATTACAAATGGAATTAAATTCTTGAAAGTACACGATATTGGCCAGACTAACCTGTTATTTATTTTTTTATTTTCTGGAATTATAATTTATTATAAATCTTAACATACTATACTGCTGTGAATTAAACAACAGTTATACTTTTTAAAGCCAGAACCCTAAAATTAAATTAAAATAAGATACCTAATGATTATAAACTAAAATCAAAAATATTAATGAATACCATATAATGTATATATATAATATTGGCTTTTATTGTACATTATATAAAATATATGTTTTTGTCTGTAAGACAACTTTATCGTGCTGTTTTATTTAAATATACTTCATTCATATATTGTATTATATTAGTGTAGAATAAACAGATGATTGGCTTTAGTTTTCATTGCCTACTTAAACATATTTTAATTTACGTGTCGTCTGCTTTCATAAAATAGAAGTGAAAAATAGTTTTAGATTAAATCCTATTAAGTGTATGATATAGGTACACATCATCATTGATGTATAAATCGCTATTATATAAATTTACATTTACATATTAGGTACCTGGTTCTAATATCGTTATTTTTAATACCTAAGATGTGAGACTTATGCAAATACAGTAAAATGTTTTTGTAATTTGTAGATAATTTGCTCATGAATTATCAGTAAAACGACTRGGATATGAAAATTGTACAGGTATAGTTTTTCAAGTAAAAATGTTAAATCCAACATTTCTCATCGACTGTTGGTAATAGTTCTAATGTTGAATTTTATAATTACATTATATAGCGTAAACATAAACCATTTCAATACCYAACACGTATATACGATTGTTTAAGACATAATTTATATTTAGGTGTTCTGACTTGACAGTTTTCGAAGACGGTTCCTTATATAGTTTCTTATAATTATTCTCTATACTCTGCTTTACATTACATTGATTTTATTATTATTTATTATCGATATAATATTATTATTGTATTCCATTTCGTTTGGTGTGTAGATAATAATATAATCGCCACGTTGCCGTAAAAGTCTTGGGCGACTAATGGTTATATGAAATAAAAATATTAAAAAATACAAATATCAATAACCATCAGTAAACAATAGTTATCGTCCGATTTTTTCGAGATTTAAAAACAAACAGAGAAGAGTATCATGTTTGTGTACATTACGTTTGTGTACATTTACAATAGTTTTACGGCCGGTCTGGCGACAATCCTATTATTATTTATATTTTTCAATCGTCCCGGTATCTTATTGTACCCCTATATTTAGTGAGTAAACAGTGATATGAAACGTAGGTAGGTACTTTTGAATGAGTATAATATATAATATGCACTTAAAGGACCGGTCGACGGGATATTTTATGAACTGGCCACCCCACAACGTAACGTTACGTAGGTACACATTATCAAATGTATAGGTATACGATTATGAACCGCACGTGTGGTATAATAGTAAATAATATAAGACAATAAGTGTAGAATTATTTTAGCTATATTTCGATGACAATGACAGCTGCTTGCCTGGTTATAATATATATTTTCCAAACCTACGGGTTTTAAACAATCAATAGTTTGTTTTTTAAATGTTTAAATATCATTATGTTTGAATCCGTAATCAATCGTTACCATAGTAATATAATATAATGTGATTAAGCATACTATTTAACCTTATAATATATAGGTATTAATTAAAAACATATAAGTTCAAGACATTTTTGTATGAATCAAATCATGTTTTTAACCGTATTTTTACTTTTTATCGCAATATTTTGTACATACTTAATTATAAGAAGAATGATTTATGGAGCTGTGAATTGGCAATAATTTTCTGAAGTATTATAATATCCTACAAAAGCTGCAGTAGGTATATCATGCATAGGCATACCTCGTGAGATATTATATTTGTTTGTTAAATACAAATTAATGCTGCAGTTAATCGTACTTTTATTATAATAGTATACTACATAGCACATAATATTATGTGGTGACTGGTGAACATRTATAATAAATTGAACACACTAGAACATCTTATTTCATTTTCATTTTGTCTCAAGATAAATAYAATTTTAACTTTATAAAGTTCTAGTTGGAGTTGTGAATAGGCAATAACTGTCYGAAGTATTATCCAAAAGATGCAGTTAGTATATAATATATAATATATAGATATATAAGTATAAAGTATATTTCAGTTAATCGTACGTTTATCGTAATTTGCATACGTAGTACATCTAATATTGTGTAATAAATTCAACACGCAGTTTTCTGGAACATCTATAATTTTATTTTTATTTTTTTATGAGATAAATTAGATTTTAACTTTACAAAGTTACACCAGTTAAATAAAAAAATAAATAACATAAACGCTCATAAACACTCATAAACAGCAAAAGTTATTAGTTGTTATAGAGTYATTATATTGTTGTGATCATGACGTCGAAAACACTTCAACACTAGAAAGCGAGACATTATAAAAATAATGTTTTTATTATCAAACGTTTTCTACAAATCATGGATCACATTTTTTTATTTAACTGGTGTAACTTTTTTGAAGGTCCAACACAACAAACTAATATTAAAAAAAATATTATAATTATGTATGACGTTTATGTATGTTTTAGTTTTAAATTGAATCCGAAATGTTGTAATATCTACTGACTTGTGGGCTTATAGTACTAATTAATTTGAGTATACATAACTCCTATCCCCAGTGGCACGCTGAATTCAGGCGATTCGAGTGGTTTAAAATTAGAATCGCATAGCCCGTCATCGTAATATATTATTATGATATTATAATATGATTTAAGTTTTGTGTAAATAATAAAAATGACGGACTCGGATTCCGCATATATCTATGATATTAGTATACGGGCCCAGGCGGAGTTAAATCACATTGATATTTTACGAAGACAAACATCGACCGTCGTCGCCGTAAATCTGCAGTCTCGATATACGTATTTGAATAGTGCCGTTTAAACGGATCACATGTAAGAAACAGCGTATCGAACACGTTACTTGTCGGTATAATATAATAATATTATAATGTAAACAAATAATTCGTTTCAATGGGACGATCGTGACGACCGTTATTATAATGATAATATATCATATTCAAATTCCAAGAGCTTCGGTTCTCCKGCACCTGATCGATCGATCGATATCGATGGCGATGTAATAATAATAAATATTATTTCGTGCATGAGAGAATTTGAATTTTTTTTTATTCGTACTACCTACCTTCCTGGACAGTGTACAAAAATGTCTTTCACGAGGAACCACTTGCTCATTCTATATATCAGGTCCTAATATATTATTATGTATTAACGAATTAAGAGAAAAAAAAAATCAATAAAGTCGAAACCACGCGATGCCAACGCACCCGGTTTTCTTCGTCCTTGACAATGAACGTTGCGAAATATTTACATGTTCCCTCGTATTATACCTAGGTAGGCATTGTTAGGTATATAAACTAACTCTGAATCGATTTGCGTCGGCCAGGAAGTCACGACATTCTCCGAGAACGGCTCCTCCAGATTCGTTTTTTTTTTTTTTGCTCACTATACGCATCACAATATACGTGTACAGCGTACTTATATACCTATATAATATATATGTGTGTGTAGTTAAATTAATAATAATAACTTTATAGACAGACGGCGGCGGCGGCATAGCTTTGTGGTGTCCTGCTGCAGTCTGACTTCGCAATTTTTCTTTTATACGCATTTGTCGTTATTTGTTTTTATTACATATTATTTATAATACTCGCCAGCAGTTGTTATATTATTAAAATATTCTGACGTTACGAAATGATATCGTATTTATTCGCGTGTAACGTTTAATCGAAGATATCGTTCACGTTAAGTGTTATAGACTATAGTTGTTGTTGTAAGTACGTTAGAAAATCGATTCACGTTTCCTGAAACTATACTACAAAATAATTTTAACTGCGTAACGTGACTATACTCGTATTGCAAACACTTAATTCCAGCTGTGTGTTTGTGTTTTTGTTTTAATTTAAACCAATCAACTTCAGAATTTAAAAGCGATAGATTTGATTGATAGTTTTAATAACAAAATGTAAGATAAATTAAACTAAACGATAAATTAAAAGTTTAATCTTGGTATAATGTATTWTCTTATATTCAAAACCGTTTTCGAATTATTATTTTATTAACTGAATTCATATTTCATTTTTTTATTTAACGATGCGGTACTGCAATATGATATGTGCACTTTAAATGTTAACTTCAAAAAGTTGATTTCAATGCAGTTATAAAATAAATGAAGGTAGAATTTTTTCCTTTTTGTTTTCTTTAAAGATAAAAAGTACGAAAACTTGGAAAAAAGTTTATGTATATTTATGTTAATCTCTATTATTTTTTTTTTCAAGGAAAGATAGCGATTAACGAAGTATAAATAAAACTGTTCATAAAAAACATTTGTATATGATAATATTTACATTTATAATATCTCATCTTATATACATTTATTTTTTTACTTTTATGTTAGATAATATAATAATAATATTATTTGTTACTGCTAAATATAATATAGTTTAGTCGATCGGAGCAAAAACTTTTGCAATATTTAAATTTTTTTCTTCATTTAGACTTAATAGAACTATATARGTATTAGTAATCATGTTGTTTCAATAATTACAATTTTAATTACATATTTAGCTGTATGAATTTAGATATCTAATAATAAATTGTTTTAATTTCAGATGAAACTCAAACGATGTCTATGGTTCCCGAATTACTTAGAAAAAAATCATCAACGATCGATTTGTCGGATATCAGCCGGTTTGAACGAGAATACGTAAAGCCAATAAAGTCAATACCTGAATCGTTGCACACACACGATATTCTTTACGGTGGTGACCAAAACAGACGTAAGTTTCTTATAAATCTAAAACACGTACCATAAAATATACTAGCCATCGAGTATATTTTTAATATTTGATAATATATTGACAGTAAATGATATGTTATTATTATTATTGTAAAGTTGATCGAGAAAAACTTGTTAAACACCATTCTGGGCAATATCGACACAAAACAGCATTCATATGGGATCCTCATCCTCAATACAAGTTTACGGCATTTGGACATCTATTTCATTTGGTGCTTATTCAAGACTCCAAATTTGTTTCTCCCGATATTAAAGTGAGTGGAGGTTTGAAATTAAAAAAAAAGGATGTAAACATTAACATTAGGTATTATGCTGTTAATTCCGTACATGAAAAACCATAATGTAACAGCACAATGCTCATTATATTTAAATTACTGGTACCTGCCATACATACATAAAACATTTATTTTTATTTTTTTAAACAGTTGATATTTCCGATCATACAAAAGAAATTAAATTTTATTTCGATACAACACGTGTCATTTAACGTAAGACTGAATTCGGTGCATTTTCCTCACTAAAAATTATCGTTCTAAAAGTTMGGCAATTTTTCTATTTAACAATAATTGCAGTTAAAAGTTTTTTTTTTTAAAGGGAGACCATTATGAAAATTACTTTTCTAGCGTTTGGAATATGATATTAATATAATAATATTAGAACAACGGATTAAATGTCATATACATATAAAAATATCTTACACAGTTACAAGTGACATGATGCATGTATTTTGGCGATTTTATTGGATGTAATTTATTGATTATGTAATGATAAAAAAGTAATAACCGTCGTTTACTTAATTGCTTTATAGGGTATATTTTTTCGAGATCGATTAATTTTTTCTTTAATAGATGAACGAATWCATAATTCAATTCTTGAGAACATGCATATATACAAATGTAGGTATTTCATATTTAGATCCTCTTCAAATATCCATAACAAATTAACCATCATCATAATTAGTATCATCGATATAACAGAAACATATTAATATTAGTATTAACAAATTATTAAACTACATGGCAAGTCTATAAATGATATATTTTATTTGATTAGCACTTGAAATATAATAAAATAAAATGGCAATAGGCGTGCTATATAGAAATGATTTATACCGTATATATTATCAGCGTATATTTTACTGCAGCATCTTAAAAATGACCGTTACACAATAAATATGTATATTTTATTATGGACTTATTTAATTGTAGTCTTATTATATTTTTATAGAAGACAATTAAATTTATTTATTATTCTCAAATCAATAAATTATTTTACGATTACTTAGTGAAATGTATATAACATATTATGTAGATTAAATATAAATATAATATTTTTAACAAGTACCTAATTATGATTTATTCAAATACGATAAAAAAAATGAGCTAAAATTGTAATTTAAGTAGATACCTATTGTTAGAAACATATAGAAAATCAATGGATTGAAGTAAATCGTAAAAATTTTTAACGCGATTGAATATTAGTTTATTCTACAATTTGTATCATACCTACTCGATATTTTTAAGTCTAAGTTCATAGACCCTAGCGTTATTTTCATTGTAAGTATATATATATACATTAATAATATGCTTGCATTATGTGCAATTGTTTTTAAACATGAATTCTTCGACGAAAGAAAATAACGGAGATTTTATAAATTTCAGACCAAAAAATCAATAATAAATAACATTTTTGATATTTGTATATTTGTCATATTATATAATTAATAATTATACATTAAAATGCATTCAGGTGTACATAATTATTTTTTGTATACTACTGCAGCGCCGAAAACTAAAAACTATATTAAGTAAAATAATTCAACTTTACCCGAAGTAATCAACAAAATAATAAAATATTTCTTTATTTCATTTTTTTTTTTTGGTGGGAGGGGGGAGAGAGGATATTTAACAATCCATTTTTTATCAAATACTGTAATGAAATACCAGTCAATGAAACACAATAAACAAAAAATAATTTATTCAAAGCAGTCCGTGATATATTATATGAKTATTTTTCTCAATTGATTTTTATAATATAATATATAGGACATAATAGGTATATTGTACATGTATAATATATTTTCTAGGTAAGTCCACTTTTTGGGAAAAAAGAAAGTGTTTTCAAACTATTTGTATGCTAATGTTTATAAATTGATCATTTGATTATCTCTTATCTTATTTTAAATATTCAATCATCTACTCCGTAGATGAGGTCAAGTCAAGAATCCGGATAATTACTTAAGATAACGGCATTCTTAAGTTTTATAATTTAAATTTAAGTACACCTAGAGCTGTTTTTAAATGTTCCTAATATGAATACCTACCTATATATATTATAATTATAATATTGACTACTGCAGTGATTTCGTTTTCACGTAGGTCAGTAGGTATGTTTATAGTTATTAAGTACTTTACTATAATATATTGTCCGATAAAAAATAATTATAAGTCTATGTTCGGGATATACTACGCTAAAATATTTTACGACAATTATTATTCTGTATTGTGTTTTATAATTCCACGATTTTCGTCCGCGTTAAACAACGCATCTYTATATTATCTGTACAAACCTGTTGGTTGTTACCAACTTATCCATACACACGTATAAATCGATACCTATACATAATATTATAGAATATCGGATTTCATATTATTATTTACAGAAGAAAAGTTTTATTTCTCCGCATAATTAACTATTTAGTCTGGAGTGATGCCTTATATGTACAGCACCTACTGGAAAAAGAAATTGTACACATATACAGGGTGATTCATCAAATATAAGCAAACCTCCACGTTTTCATTATAAACAAATTTTAATTTTTGGAATTCATAGGTAAGTAAACTGCTTAAGGACTATATTTTAAAATACTTAGAATTTTTCATTTAAGGTGGACCCTGGGATAMTACCAACTTATTATTTTMAAATTTGAATCACTTTTTTTGAACATTTTTTTGTATTTAAATTGAAATTAAAACGAATAGTTTTTAAGTTATTTAATTTTGGGATCTATGAGAATGATATAGATCCATCGACCATTAATATAGGGTTTAAATATATCGGTCTTATTATGATTTCAAAATTATAATATTAATATTAATTTATCAGCAATTTATAATTTTTACTAATTATCTGAATAGGTTAAAGGTTAGGTTAGGTACCTATAATAAATGCTGAATTTAATATTAAATAGGTAGGTAAATATATTTTGTATTTTTGTAAACCAATTTTTAAAGACTATTATCCTTGGCATATGATACACATTTTATAAGCTAGGTACGTTTAAACTTTGATTGAGATTCATTAGGTAGGTAATTAAAAAAAAAATCATCTATGATCTACGGTAAAAGTGATTCGTCTTCAACGTCTGAAAAAAATAAGTTACATACAGTTTCCTTAAATGGTATGGAAAAATTGAAGTAATTGAAAATATGGTCTTCAAATAAAACATAGGTGCCTGCTTGWAAATCCTAAAAATCAGAATTCGAATAAATTCATTATCAAAGGAAAAAATGTGGGCGKATATTCTAGGTATGAATCATTCTGTATATATTTCATCCAACGGGTTTTTAACAGCCTTCATTAGATTTAATTTTTATATTTATACACATGTACACATAAATTATATTATAATATATTTTGTGTATTTTCTACAATATAGGTCTTATCGAAACAATTAAACGAGAGTATAACATAATAATAATAATAATAATAATAATAATAAGTGTCCACCGGGATATACGCGTTCTCTTATGTTTTCTGCTGCCACTTATTCAAACAGGATGAATATCGACTGTTGACCCGAAGACTGCAGCAGTAGGTATTATACTCTGGTATACACGTAATATACCTATAAGGTATACTGTTGAACGACCGTATACCTGGTTTTACGTACACATCGGACATAATAATATTATAGCGTTTGGTTATACATTTTTTTTTTTTTTTATTCCGTTGCAATACCGCGTGCATCGTCCCCAGCAGCGTGTGATCTCGTATTTTATTGCTTATGTGATTCAGGGTTATACACATATTACAGTGCCCGTGTAATCCGTCGTTCGTCTGCGTTTATATTAATATTAAATACGAGTGCTGTTGGATTGTGAAATCGTCGGGGAGGACCGCGTGTATTGCCCCCAAGAATATAATACTATACATTTTATTGTATCGTTACGRCTAAATTATTTTTAATAGTTTTTCGGGATTTAGTTGGATTATCATAATCATAATGTTACAACAATAATTAGAATATTTCCTATACTAATAATAAGTAATAAGTAATAATTAAAACTACATATAATATTATTATCATACTTAAATAATATATATCATGTTTAGCTAAATTGTATATATATATTGCTATTAAACGGTGTAGGTACTAGTACTAGATGTAGTACCTATAATATACCTGCTATAATTTTGTATATGTTACTTATATGAGTAATAAGTTATGAGCTACGATTAAAACATATTTCATAAGTCCCATATTTTAGAATCGAGTATGCGTTTAGATTGTTATTTTATAAAAAGAAAATCATATTGATTACATAATAATTATAAAATTATATAATTATTATAGCCAACATTTTATGAGAGATTAATTATTGTTTAACCGATTTGTAAATTATCACCATTATCTATGTACTGAAATGAGAAAATAAACAACTTAATAATATTTTAAATATTTTATTTTTGATAAAATATGTAATATAACTTGTAAAATGTACTTATAGGTACCACGAAATAATTTGAAAATTAAAAATTATTATACGAATTTTTTTTTGACGAAGGCATCTTTATCATACTAGCTATATAAATATATATAATACTTTGAATTAGTTATAATATACAACTTATTTACTTATATTGTAATATTAACAAACTGTAAAAATGCATATTTCATTTATATATATAAAAGCAAGAATGATACTACTTAAACTTATCGTAAATGAGTACTTATAATAAATATATGTTATTATTATGCGTATTACAACATTTTATATATAACAGTTTCATTTTGATTGAATTCGATGATAAGACACGAATAATTATTAACTATACCTACCCACCTAGTTGAACTTTAAAATAAAATATTATTATAACAAGTTATTACCTTTTATGTACGAGTATATAAACTTATTTAAATAATATTAATTAATAATTATATTGCCCAATGCCCAAACAAATTTAGATGTGCATGATGCATCTCTAAAATATTTCAAGTATGAAATTAAAAAAAAATTATAAGCAGCTATAGTACTTTTATCATTATATATTTATATAGAATATATTCATCATAACAATCATGTATATAAATAGTAAAACAAAAGCTTTTGTGTTACAGAATAATAAACGTGATTAATATTAAATAAAGCGTGACTATTTTATCCGTTCTGATGATGTATAATTTGTTTCATTTTAAACATAATTCAGACTTTTAGAAGTAATAGACGATTATTTAGTATATCTGTCTTGATATTGGTAAAATGCCAAAACATATTGTTGCTAATGATATTATCTGTACATGATGTTTTAATAAATCGACCAACAACCTATTTTATTGTCTTGTATAAAATATACAAATATTAAACGATTTATAAGTTTTTATGATTTTCAAAATTAATAATACAAACAAAATAATCTTGAATTCACATTTTTTGTTATCGTAGATTACTCGTATGAAGCATAACGAGTCTTGGAGAGAACCACCCAATGTGAAGGTTAATGGATGTTTCTATTCGGGAAATGTTTCTGGTGAACYTGACTCTGTCGTTTCTGTAAGCCTTTGTGGTGGAATTGTGAGTATATCAACCATTTTATTTTCACATTACGTTTTCAAAACTGTTTATATAATCTTARGCAAAATGTTATATACATATTATTTTAATAATAATTTAAGCAGCTTATTTAGTAATATAATTTAATATACTGAATATAAAACACATTCGAATAAAAATTWCACCTCATTTTACATATACCTAATATTGTGTATTTGTCATTTGTGTAATAATTCATAACATGTAGGATCTCTTATTTAATTCTCTGTAATAGAAAAAAAAAATGAAAAAATGAACTTAGGTTACAACAATAGCTGCTATATATTAAACATATCATCAAGTTACCGTCAAGTGTCAACAACAAAGTATTACGTAGATCGAAATATATATTGTTTTGAACAATAACAGCTGATTTTACACTTGGTATGTAGTGGATTTTTCGATGAAAACCTATGTACCTACCTAATAACTACCTAATATATATATAAAGTCATCTAGAGTGTAGACTGTAGAGACAGTGTTATCGGTCACAATCTAACATGTAAGAATATAAATTTACTCAAATACATAATATTCTACTTTTACATAAACAGTGAACAATACATTAACTTTACGATGTACGATTTATAAATTACAATCCTTAGTATAATATTAAATGGGTACAACATTCTTTGCCGGTTCTTCAATACCTAACAAAGATATCTTGATCTTTGGTTATTTTCAAGATTAAAATATTTTTGTGAATCCCAAGGTGCCTCGTTAAAATTGCAACATTAATATACGCGTACTGTATAGTCAATGCACTACTGATACTCCACATATAACCTGTGTTTTCCAACCTTTTTGTTATGAGGGCCCACAAATTTACTTTTTTTTTTAGGTAATCGACYTCATATCAAAAAGAAATCAAATATTATACTAATGCCTAATTATTTATAATACTTAAAGTAATATTAATAATCCTTTTTATTATAAGCAATTTTATC